TTTTTTTTTTTTTTTTTTTTTTTTTTTTTTTTTTTTTTTTTTTTTTTTGCTGGTTTTGCCTTTTGTTGTGTTTGATTCAGTCTGATTTTGACAGAGTTCAGAAGTTGATGAAGCAGTTTGCAAATTTCTATGTTGTTGTTGCCCTTCCAACCAAGGAGCAGAATGATTCATTTGTTCAATCTTACTTCAGGTAACCATAGTCTGGCACTTATGGTTCCTTGCTGTATTTTAATTTTGTTTTTTGAGAACTTACGTGCCTTTCTTTCCCTACAAATCTCGTGGAGAAATGGGATGGAAATTGGTAAGCCACCATTTGTACCAGTTCAGGATGTTGAGATGGGCTTTGAGAAGATTGTGAAGATAGCACACTCCCGTGGAGGTAATAACCATTTTTAATTTGGGCCGAATACTTTTCTTAATCATCTTCAATAATTATATCAAATTACAGCATGCAAGCAGCAAGATGTCATGTCAAAACTGAGGACTGAGGTCAGTTGGTGTAGATATATTCTACTTGAATTAGTAATGACAATTTAACCTCTAGTGGTTGTATAATGTCTTTTTTACACTGTTTTAATCACCTTCTCCCCCTTTTGGGGCTCTTGTTGAAGAGGAAGAGATCCGTGCAAGTCATGGATGCTTTTCGTAGAGTCATGTCTTCTGTACCAGGCCTTGATGATCATGATGCGAATTCGGTAAGCTTACTTGAACAAAACCAGCTCACACTCTTCATTGTGTGGCATAGTTTTCTTGTTTGTTTCATTTCTCGTTCTATGTATCTCTGATATAACCTAGAAACCATTCACTCTCGAGTTATTGACCACCAAAGTAAAGGCGATTGTTGCATGCGTCTTTCACTTGTATGTGATACTGATCTTGAGACGACTGACAAAAGAAATTTATTGATGGAAATATGTTCTCTCTAGTTGTAAGGGTTTTCTTTGAGCATTCTTATGTGGCTACTCTTCAGCTAAATCAAGCTATTGGTTCAATCGAGGCAATCGCGAAAGCATCCAAGGAGTACATTTTGGAGAACACAGATCTGTCAGTGGACAAGGCAGAGAGAATTAGGAGCTTTTTCAGGGATCCAAAGTTCTACCTCAGTCCCAAAATAAATTGATGATATTGGAAATGGAAATCTCTTGATGAATTCCTCGGAAGAGTTTCCAGGTCAGTCAAATTTTAGCATTTCTTTTGCTGCGTACCTTTGGATTCAAGTTCAGTGAAACCTGGCCTATGTTTCTGCACACACTCACACACACCCAAGGAAATGCTATGAGAATCGTATAGAAGAGTTAAGTTGGTATACATTCAACATGGTTGAAATTATTGTAAGAAAACAACATTCAACATGGGAAAATGTCAATCTCGGCATTCCTGGTTGGTCGGTGGGTCCAATTATGTGGTAATAAGACTATAATAAGCAAGTGAAATTTGAAGAGAATAGCAGTTTCCAAGCGTTTAGGGTAAATACTGATGAGTCATCTTTCAACAGCCTAGGTTACGTTTTAAACTGGGCGAGAGGGATGGAGAAAGAATCTACCACTTTGCTGTTTCCTAATATAATAATATCCGTTGCTAAGCCTGAGGATGTAGGAATAATGTCTTGTAATCAAGTTTGACTCAGTTTAAACTGTTAACCCATTCAGATTAAAATATGTAAATGCTAGCTTTTGTCAGTGCAGCCTGTTGTTTGTTTAGATCGAGTCTCCTTTGATTGCCCTAAGCCCCAAGCTACGTAATAAATATCCTCCTTCACTTATTGCAGTAACGGATATGGAGGAGTCTAGTTCACTCCACATGGGTATTTTTTTGGGGTAATAACACAACCTTTTTTTGAAAACTCATTTTGTAAATTGAAAATTACCCAAGTGAAACATATAGCTATTTATTATTTGGTCAACTCTATGTTAGTCAACTTTTATTCCTACTTTGTTCTGATGTTTATTTTTAAATAGTTCTATTTGTTCCCTCGACTTTATATAAAAATATATTCATTCTTAATTTTATAGAATGCATTTTTCCAAAAAAAAAAAAAAAAAGAAAAAACGTGAACTTAAACTGTGAACCATAGAGACAATTCACAATAATCAAAAATATTTTCTAAATAGTTGAAACACCAAAAAAAATTTACAGAAAAATCTCAGATCGGGCTAAATTTTAGTGTATTACTGTAGTTCAATTCACAAGTGATAAATTCAAATTCACCTTTAAAATGTAAGTGTGTGAAAAAAGAAAAAAAAAAAACTGTATTTTTTAAGTTGAAAGAAAAACTGTTGAACGCGCATATTAGTCCTACCTCTTTAGCTAGCTATTAAAGTTTTTCTTTTACCATGTAATACATCCAAATGGAGACATAAAAAATGACACGTCGCCGTATTTAAGCATTAAATTCAGATTAACAATAATTGATACGACATGTTAAAGTCGGCTTTGAGTTCCATTTCTAAACAAAACCAAGTCGACTAAATAGAAAAAGATAATAGAATCCGCCTTTGTAGTAGTAGTACTAATAATAATAATAATAATAATAAATCCCCATTTATGAGAATCACTAAAATCTTAAGTAAATTACCAAAGAAATTGAAATCAAAGGCTTTATTATTAAAGGTTTTAAAAAGGCAAAAAGAGAATGAAAAAAAAAAAAAAATAGGCATTTTGAACGCTTCCACCCTCCATTTTTGTTTGTGATCGTGATTCGTGATTTGTGATTCATGAAATTGAAACATTCAAAAGCTCCCTCTGATTGATAAATTGATTTTTCTCCGACGGTGTTGGCTTCTTCTTTTATCAACTTCCCCTTTGACCAGTCAATTTCTTCCTTCTTTTTATCTTCTCTTTCTCCGTTTCCATACTCTCTCTGGTTTCATTCCCATTCCATTTTTAACTATATCTTCTAATGTCTGATTTGCAGGAATTCTTATGGGGATTTTCCATTTTTTCTCTGCTTTTTTGTTCTCTACGGGGCTTGACCAAAGCCCTTCCAATGACACTCTCTCTCTATTCTCCTTCTTCCCCTGTATTTCCTCCTCCTACCTCGTGGGTTAGGCATATTCTACTCGGAACTAAGGCAACATCGCCGCTGCCAGACGATTCCTCTGCAGTTCTCGATGCCCAAGAAAATACTCTGCTGCCGCCCAACCAGACGTCTCAGAACCGGGTTGATGACAAACCACAGGAGAAGAAGAGCCTTCGTGACGAGGAGTTCAAGGAAGGCTCGGATTCTTCAACAATGGCAAAGGGCTCTGGGGCTCCTAACAAGTTGAGGAAGAGACCTGGAAGGCTGGTGGTGCCGGAATATTGTCCTGGATTGGAATTTACGAAACTGAGGAAGAAAATGGAGAATCAGGAATTCCAAGTCCAAGGGAGGGATTACTGTTTGGCAACCAAGAAAGGAAGGCGAGAAACGTTGGAAGATGCCTACATAGTTTTGCTTGATGTGTTCGGAGATTCCAAACAGGTAAATTTTTTGCAATATTTCTTCCGTGTTCTGATTCTTACCCGATCGAATTGAAATTTCGTCATCGGTTCTGTTTGGAGAGGCTGATCATGTACATCAATATAATTCGAAATGAAAAGCAGGCTTTCTTCGCTGTAGTGGACGGCCATGGCGGTCGCGATGCAGCCGACTACGTGGTCGAAAATTTAGGGAAGAACATCATAAACGCTCTTGAAAAAATTGCTGAGGACGAAGAAAACGCAATCGAATTGGCGATTCGTAGAGGCCACGGACGCACAGACGAAGAGTTTCTTAGTCAGGTCAGGTAACAAATTGATTAATCTTTCACACAAGTTTGTAGGGCAACCGAAAATTCGATTAAAACAATTGGCGTACCCCCCGGTTCATCGCAGGGCGTTGGGAGTGGAGCCTGTGCGGCGAGCGTGCTGGTGAAGGACGGCGAGCTTCATGTGGCCAACGTCGGAGATTGTCGAGTGGTATTGAGCAGAAACGGCGTAGCGACGGCATTGACGAAGCAACACCGTGTGTGTCGAGAAGACGAGCGCCTCCGGATTGAGAAGTCGGTGAGTGAAAGGAAATGAATAAGTCCATGTCCATGTCCATGTCCATGTCCATTCCAATTCCAATTCCAATTCCAATTCCAATTGAAGTTGAATTGATTTGCAGGGGGGATTTGTGGAGTGCAAAAACGGAGTGTGGAGAGTTCAGGGTTCGCTGGCGGTGTCGAGGGCCATAGGAGACGTGCATTTGAAAGAATGGGTGATTTCAGAGCCTGAAATCCGCCGTCTGCCTCTAACTCCTGATTGCGAGTTCTTGATAATGGCGTCTGATGGACTGTGGGATAAGGTACTTCCAATTCACACACGCCATCTTCAATTCCAAGTTCAAACCCAACATTATTCGTTTGCTTAGTCAAGAAGAAACAAAAGCATGCATAATAATAACAATAATTCCTCTCATGCTCGCTCCCCTGTTCAAACCTTTTACCAAGCTAAAATAATATATATATTTTTTTTTTTTTTGCCGTTTCGTATGGGACAATTTCTTTTTTTAATTTTTTAATTTTCTTCCTATCGTAGAATTGGTTTTGAATTGGATTATTATGTTAAAGAGTATAATAATAACGAAAAAAAAAAAAAACACAGGTAAAAGATCAGGAGGCAGTGGATGAAGTGATGAGGGAAATGGGAAGGAAGGATAGTGAAGGCATGAAGGCATGCAAAAGGCTGATGGAAATGTCATTCAGAAGGGGGAACATGGACGATGTTACAGTGATGGTGGTTCATCTACAGCACTTCATCATTTCCAGTATCTAATACTATACAGTAAGTATATATATAAAAGCAAGCAATGTTTTAATGTTTTATTATAATTATTACTATTGTTATTGCATTGCACTTCACAGTTCAAGAAGCCTAAGCTTAAGCCAACAACATAAAGCTAGTAGTAGGGGGGGCATCTCCTTTTCTTCTTCTGCAATCACCATTCATTCTTTTTCGAATTAGAGCTTAAGTTTCATTTCTGTCTACAATTTTGTAGCAACATCACAACACAACACCACCACACATTACCCTTTTCCTTTTCCTTTACCTTTTCCTTTTCCTTTTTGCTCGACTGTACATAACAATACTCGATGATGCTACCATTGCCAGTTCCAAATGGGTGTGTTCTTATCTTCTTCTTCTTCTTCTTTTTTTTTTTTTTTTCTTCTTTTGTACATTTTCAAACTATATTTATATATTTATTTTTTTATTTATTTATATGTATGTATGTGTATATATATATATATATATTCTTAAGTATAGCATTACCATGATTATACTTATTGCCTCTTATATTTTGTTGTATACGAAAGAGAATAAGAATAATTTGAATCAATTTAGTTTTCGATAAGCTCGAGTTGGTTGGTGGTGTTGTAGTTAACTCAAACAAACATAGCATACATAGGTTAGTGGATAAGATATCAGTCATTATTTCAACTAAAATCGATTATTTGGCCTCGATGTGATTTGGTGGACAAAGTGCATTAGAAATACGGGTTTTGAATGGGCCCAAAACAGCAGGTAACAACAAGAGGAGGCCCAATTGTAGCCCAGTCCCAAAAAACTAAAAATGTAATACAAAATTAGAAACTCCAACTCTTCCACCATAAATAAATAAATATATAATGCTGTCATAAACTTGGAACTCAGTCAATTCAATTGAGTTTCGCAAATCTATGGCTAGCAGGTCAAGTCAACAAAGGAGAATAAATGTGTTGTGATACGCTGGAAGGACAAAATAAAACAGAAGGAAAGATGGTATATGTATTTATAAAAAAAAAAAAAAAAATGAAAAAATGAAAAAAATGAAAAAAAGAAAAGAGAAGAGGTCAACTTGGGTTAACTTGAACAACTTTCCATCTCAACTTTTGCCAGAGAAGTGTTCAAAATCTTTGGTGATTTCTTTCCAATAAAACAAAGTCTAGTCTACATTTTTAAACCTTAATCAGACATTGGTTGAGGTTATTACGATAATTTTACATATAAACAAAGGATCCATTTGAAGATTCCAGTATTTATTATTATTACTTCCAATTGTATGGTTATAAATAGGAATGGAATATGAAATTACGAATCGTATCCGTATTGGTCCGGTTTAATGGTTGCGTTTTCTTTCTTCACTCCTCCGGTACCCTCCATCGCCTCCAGAACCCTAAAATAACCGTCGCCAACCTCCACTCCTGAACCTTCCTCCCACCCCCACTTCACTTCCCTCCCAGCTCTTTTTCTCAATGGCACACCCTGCTGCTGAGCTCTCCGTGATCACGCTTGGAGGAAAGGGTTCATCGCTTGCATCTACCTCCGTCTACGCCATTGCTCATGGCTTCTCTCTGGTTCGGATCGACTCGTCCTCCCTCGAGAGGCTTGCTTCTTCGTCCAACAATCCAAATGCTGCATCCATCAAGCACCACCTCTTCGTTCCCGATTATCTAACTCGCGAAGAAGCCAGGGCGTCCCTTGTTGTCCTCCTGAACAAGCTCATCATTTCTCCTTCTTCCGGGATTCGATCGGTAATTCCTATTCTAATTGCGGAGACCCTCAATTCAAATCCAGAAACTTTACAATTTGAACCGCTTGACGTGACCCCCGAGGAGTTATCCGTGTTCGAGCAATCATGCTATGTTTTGAGTGGAATTTGCGCGTTGCTGGACCATCAATCAGCAGCACTATCTTCCATTGCTGATGCTGTGGCTAGCATATCTTGCGAGGCGTCTAGAGCAGACGTGTCTGCGTTCAGCTTGATGGACTCGGGTGATGGGTTCGCTTCGAAGGAGGAGGTAGGAATCGCCAATGATATGAAGGTATTTCTAAATGGCTCTAAATTGGTGGGTAAGATCGAGAGTGGAGCCATCTCCAAGATTCCAAAAACTCACGGATGCTTGAGAGAGCAGGCGAAGTTGGTGCACTCGAAAATGCGGGTTGAGTTGAATTCTAGTGTCAAAATTGGGAAAGGAGGGGGGTCCTTGAGTTCCGGGACAGAGGATGCCGTTCGGACCGTATTGTTGTCATTTGCAGCCATGCTGTGGGACTTGGGAAAATGTAGTCTGGACAGAGTAAAGTTGATTTTGGGTTCAAATGGCGATGAGAATATGAAGGCGAGTCTGGCGGGTTTGCTTGATAGGGAATGTCCTAGTAACGAGAGTCTCAAAAGGGAATATAAGTTGGTCTCCGAATTGGGTTTGGATGAAAAGTACATTGAGTTTGTCCATACTGTGAACGTGTTGTTCGCTACTGTATGGAAAATCGTCGCTTGGGAGGCCATAGCAGCCTTCATGACGATTGAGGGTGGTGAGTTGATAGGGAAGGGTCAAGATGTTGACATAAATGGAGCTAACGAGAAGGTGGTAAAAAAGAATGAGAAGAAGAAGAAAGCAGTGTTGGGTAAAGGGAGTAGCGTGGTTGTTCAATTGATTAAGGATAAATTGCAGGGTAAAGGTGGGGGTCTGGGGTCATTGGAGAACTTGGTAAAAGCTATCTTATCCTTTTTGGATCCGAAGGCTTCCGGGTTTGATAATTTATTGAAGAAAATCAAAGAGATAGTTGAAAGCAACGCAAGTAGGAGGCTACCGAAGCTTCCCAAGGTAATGACATATTTCAGAATTTCACCTAAATTCCTCTTGTTTTTGTCAGGGAAGTGGACTCTCATTAGAATAATATTAGTACTGCTATCTTTTTATTTGATTTAGTATTCTTAGTCATTTAGAGTAAGGTATTTGTTAGTTTAACTCAACTGCTTGATCTTCATATCAGGGCACTCGGGATTTTGCCAAAGAACAAATGGCAATTAGAAAGAAAGCATTTTCAATTATTGAGGGAGTTTTTGAGCGGCATGGCGCCACAGCCTTGGATACTCCAGCTTTTGAGTTGAGAGAAACTCTCATGGGAAAATATGGAGAAGATTCCAAGCTGGTTTATGATCTGGCTGATCAGGTTATAATAGATGTTATTGCTTGTGTTAACGGAACCACCATTATCTTTCTTTTCAAGTTTTTTTAGATATAATTGTTGGGATATATATCTGAAATTATTTCCCCCATGCATCTATTCATACTAAATTAAATAATTACATGATTACTGATTATTCACTGAACTAGTTTGATCTGTCGCTGAGCATAATGATTACTTGACTGTTAAAAATATTGGAACTTTAGTTTTCTAATAGTTCTTGTATCCGTTGCCTTACTAATGCCATTTACATTCAATCCTCATGTCAAGTTTCTCAAACTTTTTTGGGTATTACTTAATAGAATTCATTTTATTAGTTTCTTATTGGATTAATGCTTCTCCGTTTAATCTTTGGCTGCCTTGCTTTTCCTATTCTATCTAGTTTTATAGTTTCTAAGTAATAATTATGTCATTTTAAATCTGCCGAACACTGGATGGTTTTATGTGACAGTGCAATAACTTCTTGTCGTTATTTTTTTGTTCTCCATCATTTTAATTTATTTTCCAATCTGTTTACAGGGAGGGGAGCTCTGTTCGCTTAGATACGACTTGACTGTTCCGTTTGCTAGGTATGTTGCCATGAATGGTATAACATCATTCAAAAGGTATCAAATAGCAAAAGTTTACAGAAGAGACAACCCATCTAAGGGAAGATTCCGTGAGTTTTATCAGTGTGATTTTGATATTGCTGGTCAGTATGAAAAGATGGGGCCTGATTTTGAAGTTATTAAGATACTAACCGAGCTACTTGATGAACTGAACATCGGACAGTACGAGGTAACCTTTTTGACTAATTGTTCTGCAGAAAAGGACTAGCTGTTCTAAATAATTATGATGAATCAGCAAGTATAGCACAAAACATCAAGCAAATATATTATAAGCACATTCACCCTTATTATCATATGCCTAGAAGAGTGGATTGGATTCCTGATTTTCTATAACACCGAGTTGCCTCAGTCTATTCATATTGTTACTGCCATTGATTTTTTACTCCACTTTGTGGCTAAATCTTTAACCTAATCTATTTTGTACATATTCTCTTCTGCAGATAAAATTGAATCACCGTAGGCTATTGGATGGAATGTTAGAAATTTGTGGAGTGCCATCTGATAAGTTCAGAACCATATGTTCGAGTATTGACAAATTGGACAAGCAATCTTTTGATCAGATAAAAAGAGAAATGGTAATTAAATTTACTAATGATCACTATTTTATTATTAATTGAGGATGCCTGCTTATTCTGCTTCCTCCCTTAATATCTTTTAGTTATCTGGTCTAATTTAATGCTGAATACAGATTACGTAAGTCAATTTTACAATTAGGTCGTCTAACACATTTTTGCATAATTGCATTTCTCACTTCAGTCAAAACTCTTTTTCTCTTTAGTTATTTTTTTTCAAATCAAGGTGAACTCTAATCTGTTTTTTTTTTTTTTTTTTTTTTTTTTTTTTTTTTTTTCCTCCTAGTTCTGCATTTTACCATATTAGCCATAACAAGAATGGATTTATTATACTTATTATAAAATAACGTTTACTTGTTAGGTGGAGGAAAAGGGGTTGACCGTGGAGATAGCTGAAAGAATTGGTGATTTTGTGAAGGAAAGGGGACATCCATTGGAGTTATTATCTAAGCTGAAACAGGAGCAGAGCCCGCTACTACAAAATAAAGGATCTTCGGATGCATTGAATGAACTAGAGATTTTATTTAGTGCTCTTGAAAAGTCGAATTGTGTTGACAAAGTGGTATTTGACTTGAGTCTTGCCAGGGGACTTGATTACTACACTGGAGTAATTTATGAAGCTGTTTTTAAAGGTGGTACCCAGGTAAATTTCTATATGTCATCATCCTGTCTGTTGGCACCTTTCTTGTTTTTGACTTGTTACGCATATGCCATTATTTGATACGAGTTCCAACTCTGCTTCAATTGCTAGAGAATTTTCCTTGATAATTCAACTGACAGTGATTGGGAGGATTTTGTTGTGTTAGAGCAATCAAAAGAATTCAAAATTCTGTCGGAAATTATTTTTGCTCTCGAAGATCATTTCTCCTTAGTGATATTACCTGTAACGATGTGCGAAGCTACCATCATGTTATGTTGCTGCCTCCTAATACATATTTGATTTGGACGGTGGATGTAAATAACAAATCATTTATGTTTCTCAGATTGGTTCTATTGCTGCTGGTGGACGCTACGACAACCTTATTGGAATGTTTGGTTCCAAGCAGGTCCCAGCAGTTGGTGTCAGTCTTGGTATTGAGCGAGTTTTTGTTATTATGGAACAACTTTTGAAAGATCAAAACCAGGTAATAACTTCGGTAACCATTTGATTTTTTGAAAAAAAAATTAGGAACTAGTTTTAGTTGTCAAAATATTGCATGGATTCATTTAATTCAATTGTCGGGGAGTTGCAGACTACTCGGGCCACTAAGACGGAAGTGTTAGTGAGCATACTGGGGGATGATTTGACACAAGCAGCGGAGCTTGCAAGTGAGATATGGAGTGCGAAGGTGCATGCGGAATTCCTGGTGAATAAAAGAGTGATGAAACATATTGATCGTGCCAAGGAGGCAAGAATCCCTTGGATAGTATTTCTTGGGGAACGCGAAGCGAGCGAGGGGATTGTGAAGTTGAAAAACGTGGAAACCTTCGAAGAAGTAACAGTTTCCAGAAGCAACATCATTGATGAACTCAAGAAACGCTTGGCCCCTTGATTGATTGATTGCTGTTATAACTCACTAGTTGGGAAGAACTACTACTCTTTTACACATCCATATTTTTTTGTATACTCATGAATATAGAACGCAGCCTTGGTTGGTATCTATCTATATTCATGGCTCACATTTGGGCTGTGTTTGACAACCCAATCCATTTTTGTTGTAAACTTGGTGGGTGAGTTTTTTCTCTTTCTCGACGATGAGACGGGTGGCTGTAGTGAGAGATTCTTTGTGTTATTTGTTGATGCTTTGCCTGAAACAAAGCTTGTGATTGCTGCTGCTGCTGCTGCTATTTGTCTGTCTTCTTATCTCTTCAGGAGCGACAACACCTTGAGAAGGTAGCAGGTTAGAGTCTTTAATTATGTTTTAAATTTTCATCTCTTATTATTATATTTATTATTATTATTATTATTATGAAATATAAAATAATTACATTTGACTTTTATTCACGGCCATAAATAGAATACATAACTGGTTCCATTCCAGGTGACTTTTTATTTTATTTTATTTTTAAATTAAAATATGAATTTGGGAATTTTGGAACTGATTATTTTAATTATAGTAAATAAAAGTATTCTTATGTAGATTTGGATGGACACCGATAATCTTGTTTCCATTATAAGGTAGATGCATATTTGAAGAAGAAACGTGGGTCATCAATTTCTAATCTTTTACTAGGGAACATTAATGGTATGTGTATGTGTTGGAATTCTCATTTATTTTGTCTCTATTTTTATTTTTCTATTTTTTTTATAATATCTTTTAGAATGCTATAAAAGCACTCATTTACCGTCCTTTGTAATTGTATTCAACCAACTTCTCTCCTCTTCTCTTCTCTTCTCTTCTCTTCTCTTCTCTTCTCTTCTCTTCAATATCCTTGTGAGATTTTGAGATTTTGAGATTATATCAACTCTTCGAGGCCAAGACGAAGGGTATAAAGGTAATTCTATATACATTCATCTATTTGAAGCCAGTTTAAATATACATAGTTCCTTGAGTGTATCTAAAATGGTTGACACGATTTTCTCAATTGTTTTGAATATTATTGGGTGTATCTAAAGAGCAAAAGAAATTAAAAGCGAATATAACAAAGAAATACTTAATATCCAATGGTTCTCATTCTAGATTTAGAAGATGTTTGTTTGTCAACCAAACGGAGAAAGAAGATGTTAAATTTCAAAGCTTTGGAGGTGGAGGAGAGAATTGATGGCGGGGAAGATGGAGGATTCAAATACGTTATTGGCACCTCAGATTTGGTTGTAAATGTCAGAGTTTCAGATTTTATATTTTTTAATAAACAAAGAAGGAAAATATATAATATAGTATATAGTGCGTAGTGGCATTACATGGGGCGCTATTAATTAACAGTTTTTTTTTTTAGATATCAAAATGGACATTCCAATCTACTTTTTGTTCTTAGTTTTTGAAGTTAGCGAGAGGCGAAAGTTGAACAGTGGAAATGCAATTTGAGAGCGAGAGTTGGATTTGAAATCGAGGAAAGAAGATGGAACCGTTTCCAAATGAAAACGAAATTCAAGTTTTCGATCATCAAACGCCTTGTCGACGCGCTCTATACGTTAATCTTCACCTTTAACCATGTATGATTTTACTTCTCTTGTTTTCAATTCGATTCTCCTTCCTTCAACTTCACACCTCATTCTCTCAATTTCTTCTTTCTCTTCTTTGGCTCATTCTCATTTCCTCATTTCCGCATTCCCGATGCCGATCGCAATTCAAGGTTTGCATGCGATTTCTCTCACTTCTCCCATGTACGTTTTTATTAATTGATCCATTTTCCCCTTCCGTTTTGTTCTTAATCAATCTGTGATCTGCTCCTAATTATCTGCGACGTGATATGATGAAATGAAGCGTTGTCTGCTAATTCAATTGGTTTACCGACACCATCAAAACCAGGTTGTGATCAACTGGAAGGTCTTATAATTGATCTCGCTCCTTAACTTTCGAAATCCACAAATCCACTTAGATGTGGCCACGACACCGTCCGGTTTTGGTGGGACGGTGTTTCTTTTGTATAAAAAGGTGCTGTTTGATTAGTTCCCAAGATCTCAATTTATTTTATCCAGAACTTATCATTTTCAGAAAACGGAGTGGGTTTGGAGATGGATCATCTTTAAGAAACAAGTACATGTCAGATTTCCTATACGAATTTTACAGGAAGCTTCATTACTTGACGGTGAAGGGATTTTTTTATTATTATTTATAAATATTTCGTTGTTCTTTACATTTACTTTGGAACTCAAAATTTGTTATCGACGTTGCTGCTGAAGTTTTGAAAACTGGCTGTGAATGATCTGTTATATTTCTGATGAACCTTGGAGCGCCGAACATTATTTAAGAATCCTGATTCTCTAGAATACAATCTGCTTATGTTTCATTTCTTCTCAAGTATGAATTTACGGAGCTGTTACAAAAGCTACCGCTTCCTTTATTTAAGGGGTGGCTTGAAACAGACACAACATCCTGCTATAACATGCTTGGGTTGAATATTCATTCATAAGTAATCTTCTACTTTTTGTCACATCTGGAAAGTTCTATATCGTCGGTCATATCTTTGGAAAGTGAGAATCAATGTGAACTCATGATTTATTTGGTGCAGCATCCCTTCTTGTCCATAGGCAGTGGACGATTTGTGGCCTGATTTGATGTGAGATGCAGCGGTCACGTAGAGCTCTTCTGCAGAGAAGAGCTTTGGAGAAAACTACCGGTGGGAGGAATGGCTTGTATATCTTCTCTCTGTCTTTACTTTTTGTTTTGTGGGGGCTTTTCTTCCTCCTTAGCCTATGGATCAGACAAGGCAACAGCCGTAGAGGTCAGCATCTAACTGAATTTTCTGTATCCCTCTTTTTTTTTTTTTTACAATGATCTGAGAATCTACTTTGGGATTCACTGTTATACAACACTTTCATCTCATATTTTGGACGTAACGTATGTTTTCTTTATATTTGAGATGTCAGTCACCATTAGGTTTTTCAGTTCGATTGCAAATTGTGTTGCGCAAGATTCAGAAATTGAGTATATTAGACATGAAACATTTATTTCATAGTGATTTTGAATCGGATGGCTTCCCCTTGATTTTTTCCTATTGAATGTGAGTCTGCTCTATATGAGTCGTCCATCAATGTTTGGGTTTCTCCTTAGGGGCCAGTATGCTTGTTTATTTTGAAATTGACTTTGCTTTTCTCCTCTAGTCTTTAACTTAGAAGTTCGGGTTTCAAGTATTTGATAGTTTGCAGAGATTTCAATCTAGGCTGGATCTTTTAATTTCCAATTATTTTTTATACTTTCTAGAAGACATGGATCTAATTGTTCTGCTAAACAACAGTAAAGGGTATACCTGAATTAACTGATCCTATGTACATTTGTATTGTTTTCTTTATTTAACAACACGGTCATGTAATTAAATACCAACTTATGCTCGACTTTAATGTTATTTAGATGGCTGCACCGATCTACCAGATAGCATATCAACTTGGAATAAATCCACGAGTGGAAGCTACAAGCATTCTGAAATTATTACTGAAAGCCGTCAGAATAAAAATTGTTCAGTTGCTCTTTTAAAGGATCGGTTCATCGACAGTGCAGAATCTATAGCCTTTGACGATGATATCGTTGCTCGTGAAGAAAATGTAAATCATGACAATTTTGATGAGGATGTACATTTGCTTGCTTTTGGAGAGAAGCCTGATGAGAAGAAAAATGGTTTAGGAAGGAATTTTCAAACTGACTCTCTGAAGGCTGATCGACTGTCTCATGTTTTACCCCTTGGTCTCGAAGTATTCAAAAGCAGAGCATTTATCTCAGAAACCAAAACCAGACCTGGTCAAGTGGAAAGTGCTATACATAGGTTGGAGCCTAGCGGTGCAGAATACAATTATGCAGCAGCTTCAAAGGGGTCGAAGGTATTGGGATTTAACAAGGAAGCCAAGGGAGCCTCAAATATACTAGGAAGGGACACAGATAAGTACCTCAGAAATCCATGTTCTGCTGAGGAAAAATTTGTTACTATGGAACTCTCTGAAGAAACGTTGGTGCGTACAATTAAAATTGCTAATTTTGAGCACCATTCTTCCAATTTGAAGGAATTTGAGCTTCTTGGAAGTTCGGTTTATCCTACAGATGTATGGGTAAAGCTTGGAAACTTTACTGCTGCAAATGCGAAGCACGCTCAAAGGTTTGTCTTAGAGGAGCCGAAATGGGCGAGATACCTGAAGTTGAGGCTTTTAAGTCATCACGGTTCAGAATTCTACTGCACACTGAGTGTTTTTGAAGTTTATGGACTGGATGCTGTCGAGGAAATGCTGGAGGATTTGGTTTCGGTTCATGATAATACTTTCATATCAACAGGACTTTCTGCTTATGATGAACCGACGGCGAAGGACAACGACGAACATCATAACTACGACGGAGAAATATCCCCTTTAAGGAATGACGGTGATATTGTAAAGGATTTTGTTAAACATGATTTACCCGATAGGTTTCAAGAACTGCGGCATTATCAAGCAGGCAGGATGCCTGGGGACACTGTTCTCAAGATACTGATGCAGAAAGTTCGCTCATCTGAGTTAAGCTTGTCTATCTTGGAGCGGTATTTGGAAGAACTAAATTTCAAATATGGAAATATTTTCAGACAGTTCAATGATGAGACCAGAGAGAACGAGCTATTCCTACAGAAGAGCCGAGAAGACATAAGGAATCTCCTCAGAATCCAGGAGAGCGCTGTATGTTAAATTCTTACCTCCATATAATTCTGAGTTATATTGTTCAAGCTTAATCTCCATAACCTTTCCGTATAATCTAATCCTACTGTCAAATGTGTTCTTTGCAGGGTAGAGATGTTAGGGATCTCATTTCTTGGAGGTCCTTTATTTCTCTGCAGTTGGATAGCCTTCTCAGAGACAATGCAATCCTCAGGTCAACTCCTTTCTTCACACTCGCACACATTTTATTATTAGTACTAAGTAATCGGGTAGGACTTTTTAAGAAAAGAAAATTAGGGAAAGTTTTCAATTTTCACACCTCCCGTACCCTCCTCAATTTTCTATCTTAAACTTTCAATTTCAACATTTTGGAACCTAGACTTCAATTAGTTTTGTAATTTCTACTTAATGTTCAATTTTTGTTAGCTCACCTACAAATTTTAACCAAAAAAAAAAAAAAAAAAACCTGCAAAAATCATCCGTAGACTTGCTCATTTTAATAAAACCAAGTTTTGCACAAATTTTAGTGATTAATGTACAAATTAACCACTAAACTTCACATTTCTGAGAAGAAACATTTGTATTCTCAATCAAATTTTAATAAACTATTTTTCTCAAACTACTTTTTTAGTTTTCAAAGCTTTGTTTGGTTTTTGAAAACATAGTTGAAAGTGGATAGCTTATGCATAGAAGTATATAAGCTTAATTTTTTAAAATCTAAAGGTTACCTATTATTAGTGTGTAGTATGTTGCAATGCTATAAATGGTGTGAATATGATTATAGACTTAATGATTTTTTCTTGTTTCTAGATCTGAGATTGAGAAGGTTGAGGAGAAACAGATTTCTCTGGAGAATCAAAGCGCTGCCGTGGTTTTTGTATGTATGATTTTTTTATTATTTACTCTGACGAGGCTGTTCTTAGATATGGTGGTTAGTGTTTATACAGGAACAAGTATGGAAAGGAACAGCAAATCTGGTAAATTTCGTATGAATACTTCCTGGATTCTCTTGCTGCTAAGCTGTAGCTTCTTCATTTTCATACTTTTCTAAGAAATGTATCCACACTTTCACATTTTCCCCGGTGAAGGTTAAAAAAAAAAAAAAAAATCATTCAGCACACTACGCTTTTGCAAACTCTGCTGTTTATTACTTCTCTTCACTTAACACCAGATCTGCTTAGCCAGGTTAATTCTATTTAAATGCCAAAATTGTTCATAAAATAATTGAAACAGATTGCAAACCATACTTAAATGACCTCTGTTATTATCAATCAAGATAGTATAATAGCTATAACCTCGAATTCATGCAAAATAAGAAACATGAGATTTGTAATGTGCCCGACCTTTCTGCCTCTTTGTTCATCTGGGAGTGATAATTCAAAATTAGTGAGCTGATAAAAACATTTGCTGTTGCTCTTTATGGAATTAGGTACCAAACATGCACAAACTAATCACAATCAGTATATCATCCCTCCAATTGTAGAGGTACATTTACCCAAAACAATAACAGAAAGGGACAATAATCCAAACAGGGGGAAAATGGGCAGAGCATTTAAATTTAAACCATTGAAAAGACTGGTATTTAAATGGAGTATACAATTGTTACAATGCCATCAAAGGAGAGTGCACATTTGAGATGGAATCACTAACGCCACAAGACAAATACATTAGTGTCCGAAAATTGGTGCAAACAATAATAATAATGAAGGAAACAGCATCTCTTATGACATGAATAGGAATGTGAAGAAATATATTGGTAGATTTCAAGGATATTTTTTTAAGTCAAATATCCGAGCGTAGGACAAGGCGAAACTCTGGAGAAGCATATGGAACTTCGATTTCTATGTACACGCCAAACCTTCCTTCCCGGTTCCAAATGTAAATCTATTGTTCGCCCCGGTATTGGTATTGGTATTGGTATTGGACTCTAGTAGAAAGATATGAATATGAGAAGACTAAGTACCCAAACTCTGGTGTGCATTGGTGTCACCTCACGAAAAAAATATTGATGAAGATAAGGAAACTGTCAAAATAGTCTAAACTCTGTGCAGCTAATAGTATTTTGAACCCGAAGATGGCGGTGGGGGTGGAGGCATCCGGTTCGGAGTGCGGCGACTGTTGGAGCTTGAACGTGAGTTCAAATCTCCGTTTTGATCTGGATCACTGTAACGTCGACTGTGACCATTGGATGAAGATCTACTGTAGTTCGCAGCGTCGAAGGCAGATTTCCAGTCTTCACCTGATGGAGCACTCGTTCTCGGACTGCTTTCTGCAAAGATAAACATTTCTATATTTAAGAAATAAAAATCAAGCTCAACGGAAGAAGTCTGTGTAAAGTAAAATTCACGGTAAAGATATATAGGAAAGAGCATAAATACAAGCTAGTAGTAACTGCATACCTGCGCCACTGTCGGACCATTTGGCTGCAGCAGCCGCTCGGTTATCATGTACGCTGAGTTGACGTAGCAATTTAGAAAGAAGAGATGATTGTTTTTGGCAGCGCTCTCTTTTATTCTTTACACTGTGGTCCTCGAGAAGTAGCTCCTCTATCCTTGGTGTGCTTTGAGCACTACCGAAGAACAACAAAATTATTTTCGAAGTCATTATTAGGCATATGAGGTCTGAGAATAGAACTAAAAGATTAACAAATGTCGCCAAGAAGAAGAAGAATTGGATTCAACCTGATGGAACTATACAACTGATTTAGCATATCTTCCTTGGCTTTCTCAACTTGGCAGAGCACAACTGCCTGCTCAGTTCGATCAATCAACCAGCAAGATATTATATTAAATTAAAATCCATTGCACGGCATAGAGGGGCGTACTGGTAAGCAGAGTAAACTGATTGTACAGAAGCTTACTTTTGGGACATTAGCAGCCAAACTGTTCAAGACAGCTTCAACATAGCCACGTACTTCTTGAGACATCCACCGTAGTTCCTCTTCAGGATCCACAGGTCTTCTACTCATTGTATCCTTCATCAAATGAAATCAAAGTTTCTAAGCAGCTGCTTGCTTTTCTTCCAAATTAACAGTTATATAATATACAATTTAAAAAATGGATTATTGGACAATTAAGAACAAAATGTAATTACATGATGACTCCTCAGAAGTCATTGTCATACAAAAATTTGCTACAAAGAAACAGATGCAAGTTGGTAACTTACAAGAGAACCCTCTGAAAGACTCTGCCGCAATGGAAGACCACTTTCAGGACCCTTCATCTGTCCTCTGGAAGGTTGAATAAGATTCCTTATCTTATTCATCCATTCAATCTTATCAGCCATACTTTCGGCCTTCAAGACAACAGCGTTGTGTGCTGAAAAGGAAAGAATGAGTTATAACTTGCAAGACTAAACAAGTTAACAGAAGGTTCCACAGCCAATTGCCAAATAACTGGAAAAATTAACAGAGAACAAACCTTTAAGAACAGTTTTATATGCAACCTTGCTCGTGATCTTGAACACGAGACTTTTTCCAGAATCTGGGCCGTTAGCTTTCTTATCCTTTGAACCCTTTGAAGAAGCTTCTTCCTCGTCTGAAGCCTCTTCAACATTACATTCCTGCAAAATTATTTATAACAGAGAGACTAACATTTAGACCAAGATACCAAGCAAAAAGAAAAAAAGAAAAAAGAAAACATATTGAATATAGAAAAATAATTAGAGACCAAAACTCCCGCCCAGCCTCTCTTTCACAGCAAGCATGCATATTTACCTATTGATACAAAATCGTTCAATCCTCAGTTTTTAATTACCCCTATAAATGTGAAATGCATTTGAACACACCAACTACTAACATTAAAACAGAGAAGAAGGAATAGGATAAACATATATGATCAATATTCTTTCAAAAATTTGGCAGATTTGGCAGATTTGGCTAGAGAAAAATTGAAGTTTTCAAGGGCGTCGGAAAAGATTTTGGGCATGATCAGATTTTAGGTAAATACAATTTTTGTTCTATAAAAGCTGTAACTAGGAGTAACTTTTCTAACTTGGTTAGGTTAACCTTTAACCTTTGCTGATGAATTCCCGGACCTCCCCCCTTCAATTATATTGTTTAATTTAATTAATAAAAGCTATCTCTTATTGAAATATAAACACGCTTTATATCCTTCAACCTGATTTTCTATGTCAATTTAAGTAAACTAACCACATCTAGAACTAGAAAAACTTGACAATCTCTATACCAATGATTCTTCATACCTCTAAAGTGATCACACCACGAAAATGTCTCTCCTCTTGCTTCTTAGTGTAACCAAGCTGACATAAGAAAGGAAAATTTGTAAGAACTACTCTTCTAGCAAAGATTAGATGAAAAAAGGATAGATAATCAGCAACGGTTACACAAAAATATCAGAACATTCCCTTGCAGATAAATCAAAATATTATCACCTAAACATGTGCAGCTACTTCATACTGAGCATTACAACATTGTTATTGGAACTATATAGTGATAAGATTTAACTAGTACTTGCCAATAAAATTCCATAAGCTACTACACGTGGAGTTAATTTTTAAAAAATATAAGCTGACATGATAAACGGAATACTTGATATAGCAACACCAGCGTTATGAGTCATTGAAATTATGTGCATGTCAAATAGAATGATGGAAACGATAAATCTACCATTAACATTTTTTAGCCATCAGACTTGCACATAATAGCTTATAGAAATTATATAACAAAAGTACACATACCTTTCCCGTCTTCTCATTTAGAACAAACCATCTTCTACTCCATCCATTTGTTTTAGCGCTTTTCTTTAACAGAAAACCTAAAATATTTGAAAGTTTCAAAGTTAACGGGTGTAGAAATAGTAATCAAAACAGACACCTTCACCAAGAACTAGATTCCAATATTCCAGTTATCCAATAATGTAAACCTTCAACATCCACTCCATTCTTCAGATTTTGAATTCAGCCTTACAATAAAGGTAATTTAGTGTTTAACCAAACAAACAATTTTCTGACAGAAACTATTCAAATGAGAGGATAGATAATAAAGGTTAAAAAAAGAAAGCTTTTTAGGATGGCCTGATGCACGTATTTAAGTGAGGCTCAAATTTTTAGCTTCATATCAAGGAAGCTTGTGCCTCCATAAAAGAGCATAATTGTCTTTTGACCTCATAAAATCACTAGAATAATATCAATTCTCTGCCATCCTCCAAAGTTATAAAGCTCCCAATGCAATGTAATATACCATGAGACAGAATTGTCTAGCCCATTACTAAAACCACCAAACGTCAAAAAAATATTGAAGATATAAAATAAAGAAAACAATTCTATAAGTGATAAAATAATAATGTTCTGAATGATCTTTAGATTCTTTAACATTTATATAATCATTACGGTTAGTAATATTTTACCCATACATTTTTGTTATGTTTGCGAGTCTTTCTATGTTTCTAGATTTAAATGGAGGTTTACAACTCAATTCTTCGATAGAGAAAGCCTTGAGACCATTTTTCATTCTTTTAAAATACTGATAAAAAAATCAAACTCAAGCATTAGCTACTTTCATCAATTCCCTAAGACTTGAGTCTGGAAGCATATTGGCCTAAATGAGTCTCCAACCAAAGCGACAAAATTACAGCTACTAGCATATATTAAGAACTCAAGTGTTCTCCTAATTCGGCTCCTCTTCCAGCAAAAGGTTCAGAACAAGATTAGACATTTTAATAGCTTAAGCAAATTACAAATTCTATAAAGTAGAGGCCGTCAATGGCATGAGAGAGCAAACAGAGAGGTCTGCTAACAATGTGCAGAACTGTTAAGTACACATATACATACCGGCGGTTATTTCCCCTTCTGGACCTGCAGTCTTCAAACCAGAAGTTTCCTGTACTTCTTTGTCCTCTTTGCCTGGCTTTTCCTTCATTGATTTCAGGCTTCCACTAGTTTGAGGACTAGAAGCCTGACAAAATAATATGAGGAAAGAGAAAAGGGGAAAATAAAGAGGAAGATGCTTGTGGTAAGCATAGCATAGAAAAGTGATAAAAAATCAAATATTAATTTTCTGTAACTCAAATCATAAGAGAAGAAATACCCTGTTTAATATTGCTTGCTCTGCCTCTTGACCTTTCTTCGATGATTTGTATTTCACCTCATCCTCACGACGTTGCCTCTCCATCCTAACTCATGCAACATACAATGCAACAAAATGAGTTTTCAATGGTAGGTTTTTAATTATATAGATTGAGGAAAAATTAGGTCAAGGTTGGTTAGAGTTATTCACTCCTTTAATGTTCAATAATACTAATGTTTACTAATTGAGGAAATTAATATGCAAGCTAAAGAACATATTAAAAGTACCTCCTTTGTACCAATCGAATAAAATGTTGTGGAGGCACAAAAGCTCGCTCCATGTCGACAAGAGCAACTACCATTTTCTTTGCTTCATTCTTAAATCCATCTAATGCAGCACTTGCAATAGCCACGATCTTCAAGAAAGTTGATAATACTTTTCATATATACAGTCTCAAGGCCACAAACAATTGCAGCTTGATCATGCTATACCCGTATACCCTTTTCTATTCTAGAAAAATAAAGAGCACTATGACATCAGAAACTAGATAAATTTGTTTGTCATACCTCTCTCTTGAAAGGCGGGTATCTTCCAAGACCTGGTGTAGAATTTGCTGCAGAAGAAACTATATCCACTAGAACCCGATGGACCTTTTTCACCAGCCAAGCAAGAATACCGTAAGTAGCAGAATGAACTAAAAGATAAACTACATAAAGATGAACAGATGTCTTTTTACATATTTGGCAAGGTAGATGAAAACAAACTTGTACTCCTTTTTTTTAATAAAAAGTCTGATAAACGGGTGAGCAGTTCAATCCCTAATATAGACCATGAAAGTGCAAAAAAGAGGACAGATACACAAACTTTAACATGCAAATTCTCTTTAATTTTGCACTTGACACGAGAATTGAACTTCTTCTCAAGTGGGAATTTACCTCATCGACACAGAGACGTGATGGTTCTTTTGCAAGTTCTAAAACACCTTTTATTAGAGATCGCAAACCCTTTTCAGGGGATATCAAATATGGTTGATAACCATCGGCTTCTAACACAATCTGTTGCAAAATAATCAAAGAAAATAAGTAAAGATTACAAAAAATAAAGATAACTTAGATGCAAAACAAAAAATTCAATGTCGGAAGAATAGAATTGGAGAGAAAAAGAGGCAAACATAAACGTACTCTCTTCACATTGTTAATGTCAAAATGTCTGTCAAGAGGGAGCTGCTTGATTCTGTTTGGAAAGTTTCCCTCAAAACTAGCAACAATTTTCCAACCAGCACCCTAAAATTGGAAATCATCATGAGGAGCTACTGAAACTCGCTAATCAAAGAAATTGTTGCACCACTTTGATGTATGAACCGAGGATAATCATTCAGACTTTAGCATTATTTTATATTAGAAGAAAACGTTTATGGGTTATCACACAAACTAGATGAAAGGATGAAACTGTCACAACTATATTGGACTAGAAATGACATTAAGCTGAGGATTTTTTGTTTCTTTCTCTTTTTTGTAGTTAACAAAATCTCATGTTGAAACACAGTCAAACATACCGGAAACAAAAAAAAAACAAAAAAACAAAAAAAAAAAATATTATTATTATTATTATTATTATTATTATTAAAATAATGTTTCAATGAATGCTTATAAACAATTTAACCTCAATTTCCATTAAACATTTTAATTTTAGTTTTAATTTTAAACGTAAGGAAAGTCTTACCAGTTCTTACTGCTTATGGAAAATAAAATATACATGAATAGCATTCCGTTATTTAAGAAATAACGAGAGACAGAAAGCCAAGTACTATATAAAACTAATTTTAATTTCATAATTGAGTTTGAAAGTCTCCATTATTTCCATTAAATAAAGTTCATGTGTGAAGGCAACTGATTACATCATGGTGTCCAAATTCATCCAGAACAGAAAGTTTAATATTTTTCCTCCTATTTTCTTGTCCATTAACATGGGCCTTTCGGGACTAAGAAGATTTGTGTCACACGGACACACAAAAGAAGTTCATATTACTACATTGTGCTAAGTTGGAGCAGCAACAAGAATTAAATTACCATGCAGATTGCTAAACTAACCACAAATGGGCCTCCACCAGAGCAATTACAAAGAACTTATTATAAAATTAATATCACTCACCTCACCAGTAGCAATGTGCTGAAGAAACTTATCTTCAAATTCACGGCAGAGTTGTAAGGCTACAGCTCTTGTCCCTTCAGAACTTTCCACCATTTGCTCACCAAATTTCGATAACTCGTCTTGCACAATCTGAGATTTTCCTTGTAACCTAGCATATAGTAAATTAAGAAGTAAATAGAAAGCAGGAATCCAGTTAGTTAACAGAGAAGAACATCAACATCCCTTGTGGAGGAAGATCAAGATATAAATTGTCTTTATCGGTCAATCATCACATTCTTCAACTTAACAACCCAAGATTACATTGTCAAATTTTAAATTAAATATAATTTTTCACAAAATTAAATTTTGTTCATTTAATAATAATTAAATATAAATAATTATTTTTATTTGTAAAACCCCTCAATCCGTTGATCCGACAGAGTTGAAAGTCACAAAAGGGAATTACAAACGAAGCCACCTTTAGAGATGCAAACCTTACCAAGACCCGAAATTCCTAAACTTCAAAAGATTCCAAGTTGGAGATTGCTCTTTAATATAAAACAGAAAAAACCATTTACATAAAACAGTAATACAAATTCATATGACCTAGTCATGCAACTGGAATTTGATTAAAAAAATATGGATGGGAAAAATTGGATAAAATTTAATGGAAATTTTTTTTACCACATACATAAATGTAACCCACTGCATCTAGAGGCCATGTAAAAATTTGTGGATAAAAAATAATTGATAATGTAGCATTTAAAAGAATGTACCCTGATAATAGGTTTGGAAGTCTGACATTCATACGATTCCGAATTTGATGAGCCAAAGCATCCACCAAAGCAATTCTACCGAGTTTACTCTGAGGGGCTCCAGTCAGTATGGATTTCAGACTTTCGCTCTCGGCCCTCCAGGCAGTTTCCAAAGAATTTTCAGAGCCAACAGAACCAGACTGTGCAGAAGCAATAGAAACAGATTGACCAATCAAAGCAACCCATGGTATATCTGAAGCCTTTGATGGTCCTTGATTTAGTAACAGAGCCTGAACAGCAGCCAGAGATTTCTGATCAGAAGCAGCTTGATCTATTTTGCTAATTATCCCAATAGTTCTAGTTCCTGCAATCAACATGATATATTCATTTTAACAACGAAAGAATTAATGGCAAAGGAGGAGATGTTTCATAATAATGTTGTAAGGACTCGGACACCAAAATAATGTCAGTTGAAGTGCAATTAAAAGAAACAAAAAAAACAGTCAAGAAGGAGAAGGATGCATCCAGAAAAAGAGGCCACTAACTCTGATGAAAATGCCTACATTCCACAACAAAAGTAAAATCAAAAGTTGCAAGATTTACTGCAGCAACAGGATTAAGAAAAATATAATAATCCCCTCCCTGACCTCTCCCCTAAGAAGATGCAAAACTGCACATGCATCCTAATTTGCCTAGGTGTTGTAGTTTACCTTCACTGTCATAATCCTTTGCCAGTCTGAGGGCACGAGTTGAAGCAATCTCAACGGCTTGAGAGGCCGGCACAATGACAAGCAAAATGGCATCATTGTGCTCAGCATATTCACTAATCTGTACAAAAAAAAATTATCCGTCACTAAAACCATTTGACCAAAACAGAAAAGCAAATTTAATACAGTGACTCAGGGGCATTTCATTTTAAAATTGCTATACCGCCAATCAAAATATTCACTGTCTTCTAAGGATCATGCGTGGTGCATTGCAAGAGTTATTCTACTTATTAATCAATTTATCATGTATTGTTTATTAGATTTTAATGCATAAAATTTTCAACATTTGTTGGATAAGCAGAGCTATCTGTCTTACCACATTTGTCAACTTAACGATACACTATTGTTTACAAATCACCAATTAGCTTTAAATGAGCCTCTCCAGTAATTTCCTTGTGAAGCTTTTGAGGTTAGCATGCCACTTTCCAAGCCCATCTATTTGTTCTGTTTCTTTTTTCATTCTTTGGCAGTTTGCCCTTCAATACACGACTCCCTCTTAGATAGAGAAGTCGCCATCCACTATCTTGCTCACCTTACAAATGAAGGAAAATCTACATCCATGCTATAATAAGTTCGCTAAGAGAATTCTCACCCTCCAATAACATTTGTGGACTCTTTGTCATTTAGTGATTCTCTTTGTTATTTTTTCCTAACACAACAAATAAGTGAGACGCATGCTTGATAACTCCAATCATAAATCATCTGAATTGTTTTTTATGCAATTTCTAAAAATCAGAGAATCTTGGAAATTTTAATAATTATGTTAAAAGAAAAAAATTAAATAAAGAAAATTTTGTTAAGATCTACATTTAAAAAATGGTCAAATTATAACAAGTTACAGTAGAAGAAAGGATAATACTACACCCCTAGATACTAATAACAAAATTTATCAAAGAATTCATTCTACGGCTAAATGTACAAACGAAGGAATAAGAGATGGAGAGATTCGATAGATGACAATTCCTTGAAGGGTAATTTGTGCTTACCATTGATTCACTCACACTTCGCTGATCAAGCCCAGGTAAATCAATCAATTTCACTGGAGGTGCTGAGAGGAAGAATTGTAAACTCAATTACATAAGGGACACTAAAGCATCAATTATTAGAAGGATGTTTCTTGTACCCATACCTTTATTTCCCTTTGGTTATTTTGTTAAATACATAATGATAAAAATTTTGAGTTGCTAGACACTAAATGACACTTTAATAGTAAAAGAGAAAAAAAAAAAAAAAAACATTATAAAACCAGGATGCTGCTTTGTGTTTCATAAGATATGTTTCTACCTCTGGATAATGAATATCCAAAGGACAATCATTCAAGTCAATTTCTGAATCAGAAAACTGTTTTCAATTTCTTGAACCAAAGAACTTTAAAGCTACTTCTAAACAGCCTACATTTAAACTCTAGTAGAAACGAGTAGAAGAATCATTATACTGCTTTATTGTCATACATACGCCAGTGTCCATCACAATTCCACCACATGTGCAAGCACTTCTAACTACCACTGATCTTTGTTTCTGCCCAGTACTAATACACAGCTTATGCAATCACTCACTAAAAACACTTGAAACTAGAACCATGATAAAATTGTCAGCCATTAATCATGAATTCATGAGCTACCTGTACTAGTGCGAAGCTTCAAATAGATTTCATCTCGATTCTTGCCAGAGGAACCTTTACTCAATCTGTCCTGTAGAGAGTGTCGCAAAGCACCTGCATAAATATAGGTAAAATAAGGAAAAAAAACATAAGCAGAGAGATATGGATTAGTTGAACTTATATCCAAAAATATATAAGTAATATTAACAATAACTAAAAAATTACCGTCAAGTACACTATCAGTTCACAAAATGTTAGACGGTGATTTCCAAAAACATGAAAGAAAAATAAAAAGATTCACAACCAACTGGTGTTAATAACTGAAAGTGCAAGCTCTATTTTTCAAAGAAAAAAATTGAACAGAAAATAATGTCTATAGGAAAGTAAGAAAAGGAAACAATGTAACAATCAAATTTTGTAGAAATACTTATCAAACCATCCATGAAACATAAGCACAAAACAGTAACTCTTGGATAGAAGCCAATAGAGTATCTATTATAGTCACTGACTCGCAGAAACTTGCTGAGACTTATTGTCAATCTGCAACATAATTGATTTGCTGCTCAATGAGCCATCCCTCTGTAAACCAATGCTTATGGGAGCCCTAGTAGCACCATTTTCACCAGTTGGCTGGTACAGAAAAAAAATGGATATAAACTCAGTAAAGTGACGACCTTAATGTTGGCACTTCTGTAGTTGTATATGTAGAAGATTGAATGTAGGTTCTGAGAACATGTGAAATCCAACTTACCAACACAGGATGTCCAATCAAGCTATTTAAAACTGCAGATTTACCAGCTCCCTGGAAAATGGAAAGAAAAAAAAAAAAGAGAGAGAGAGAGAGAGAGAAATCAGGACCAATGGTAAGGTGCTACAGTTTTCATGGCAGTGCATAAGCGCTTGAGTAGCAAGATGCAATTAAAACGGCAGGCTTATTGCTTTGCTGTCCATTGCCAGATAATTACTCAGAAATTCAATTAAGTGCTGCATATTCTCCTTCCAATATTCAAAACAACAGAAAATTGTAATAAAATAATAAGTGAAATAAATGTAGGAGCTTATAACACAATAACCAAAGAACTTTGATAAAGCGAACATTGTATCCAATGCCAACTCAATTTCAAGTGATGGTTGAAACTCCATGTCATTTTATTTCCATATTTATGGGAACTTCTTCATCACTACAACACATTGATCGACTGAGTATTTGCTTTACTCTTCAGGATGTTTCCGAATCTATACTTGAATGCCTTCGACCATACATGAGACTTCGAGAAGTATGGAATGTGCAGAAAGAAGCACTCTATTGCGAGTGATCCCTAAAATATAAAACTACGAACGACGTTATAGAAGAATTATAAATTATCGAAGCAGAGCTAATTTCATCGCTTCTCCAAGTGGTCTAGAAACTCGAAGCGCTAATGAGTTAAACATATCGACGCTTTTTCAATAGATACATGGATATTACGGAATACGTAGATCGATATATCAATCCATGGTTTCGATCTCATGGAAACAGATTTGAATGTCCAATGGCCTTGCAATAATGCAGGTGTCCCGATCACGAGGAAGTAGTACATCTCCTCCAATTATAACCAAACGCCAATCTCAATAACTGGAGCCGTACATTTCTAAAAAAAAAATATTACGAGTGAAACTCCTATGATCCAATCCAGATAGGATCCCCGCTCCAGGTAAAATTTTCGGGAATTTGATGAACAATGCATGCGCAAATGGTAAATAGATGCCACAGCTACAGAATGTATTTGGATAACGAATCAGAAGAGATGTGAACTTACCACATTCCCCAGGGCAACGACGTTCAGGAAAGTGGAAGGCCTACGAGAAGAAGCACCGGAGGTGGAAGTTTCGTCGACGTCCTCATCGGCAAGCAAAGCCGCCGCTTGCCGCATCGAGTCCGACAACTGAGCCAGCTCCTCGATAGCCTCCACCGAATCCATTGAAGGATGAGGAAGGACGGACAGAAGGTGATAATGCAGTTGGATCTAACACAAAGGTGGATCGATTCAATGAAAGCTCGGTGATAAGATAGATCTCTGAGCACAATTCCTCCAGAAAATTAGAAAAATGACGGTATAATCTTTGCTTCTTTCCCTTGGTCGAATGGTTACAAAAACAGGGAAAATCCTACAGACTCCCCTTCTCACCTTTCTCCACTATTTTCTAACTCTACAAATAAATTGATCGCGTTTCAGTTTTCCCTCGTTTTTATTGCTATTATTAATATTATTATTTGCGTATTTTTCCATGAAATTAGCATAATTTATTTTATTTAATCCTTAAAAATAATATTCGATTTGTTTCAAGTTTCGCCTTTCTCACCTAAGATGATACTGAAATGATAACTAAAAAATAGAATATTTATCAAAGTTTTATAATTGGTTTTTTTGTTTTTTTAGTGATTTTAAAAACGAAAGATCCACAAAAATAAGGTCGCTTTTATAAGTTCATAAGCCTTATTGTTGGACAACGTCTGAGCTTTTTATGGGGAAGATGCCTGTGTGTGTTTTTTTTTAATACTTAAATAATCCAGCTCTTACATTTTATCTTTTTCTAGATTTAATTTTAATGTTAAGCTATAATTTTAATCTATGAATTTTTAGATTTACGTGAATTTCATTTATAAACTTTTGATATATTTATTAAAAGGAAAAGGAAAAATAATCACCGTTGGATGCAACTCAGTAATATGCTAACATCACACCGTTCAATGTTCAATTTTGTTATTATTATTATATTTTTTTTTCTAACATTCTCCCATCTCTGGAGTCCTAGAACCTTTCCGAACGCGTATGCTTGTTTCCGCAGTCGAAAGGTAACGTTGTTGTCTGCTTCTGTAAGAATCGTGCCATCGGCGACGGCTACGGCGACGGCTACGGCGACGGTGCTCTCTCACCGCCTGTTCTTCCAGTGTCCCCCTTGCGGCAGCTAGAACGAGTAAGGATTAAGAAACGATATGTTCAAGAAGGCAGCCGAAGCGAAGCTACACCAGAGATTATCTGGTGCAGACAGGAAGAAGCTGAAGAGGACTGTTAAAGGAAGGTTCCCCGGAGCTTCCGATGCCGATATCGATGTCTTGCTTCCTCCTAAGGTGTTTTTGCATTTCCAATCGATTTTATATGTCCTAATTTGATTATGACAATAGCTCACCTGATTCCTTTTCGACTCTTCTTTTTGTTCTTAGTTGAAATTATCGCCGAATATCACTTGCGTCTAATTCCTCACAGATCAATCTTGCACTCCAATATTCCTATCTACCTGAAAAAAAAGTTTCGGTATTAGCATTGCGATAAACCGTGCGTGGGTAGCTACCAAACTAAACATCATTTATTTCTGCAATAAATATTTACTCATTTCGTGGAGGGAGAAGAATTTGTCACTAGATAGCTCAATTTTAAAGAAAATGCAGCAGATTGTGTAGAAGAGTACAGAGGACCTTTGGGAGATTAGGGTCTTCTTCTTCTTGGCGTCTTTGTATATATTGTTAAAGCCCTTCTATAGCTATCATGTTTATTCTATCATTCCCAAGCATAGAGTTCTCTTTCTTTCTTTAGTAATTATCATATCCCCTATATTTCATTTTATCAATCCAAAGTTAATATGTTTTAGGTCGAGTTGTCTGTTGCCAAGTTCCAAAATCGTGTCCACATATATAGTCTAGAAGGAGGCTTTCCTATGTTTTTTGACGTCGATGGGAGAGGAACTGAAGTATTCCCCACAGGTATTTTATCCTTTTATAGAATTTATCTTTTACACCAGAAGATTCTATCGAAAATTTCACCGTCACTACTAATTATTATGAAGATTCTGAAAGCTTTCCTTCACAAAATTTTGGTTATTTTTAGATCTGGATGATATTGATTCGGTCTTCTTGGCTTTAGTGACACACACAATTCTATTGTAGTTTTTGCACTCTGGATGGTACCAGAGTTGTTGCCTGCATTTTTATTGAAGGGGGGTGAGGTCTCTCGCTTTGTAATTGGAGGAGCAGACTTGATGTTCCCTGGTATTCATGTCCCTGCTGAAGGGCTGCCTTCATTTTTATCTGGGGAACCATGGGCTGTGAAAGTCCCTGGCAATCCATCTCCTATTGCTGTAAGTTTCACTGAAACTTGATCTCATTCTGCAATTTAACTTTGGCTGTAAAGACAAATTAGAACTCTAGTCAACCTAAAGATCTCATGCAGGTTGGTGTTACCACCATGAGTAGCACTGAAGCATTGAAAGCGGGTTTACGCGGAAAGGCTCTGAGAATTCTACACTACTACAGGGATTCCCTTTGGTGAGATTGATCAGAATGGCATAGGAACAGAGCGATCAATTCTTGATGAATGACACAATTTTCTCTTGAATTGATTTTTCAGGGAATCAGTGGAGGGTCATTATGTTCCGAATGCAGGCTTTTTGGAAGATGTCGTATATGGAGATCCTGCTTTGGCATCATCTTCACAAACCGATAACTCTTGTGAAGGTACTGATGAAGCTTCAAATAATGAACAGAATGACATCAACAATAAAGAAGTTGGGGGATCTGTCAATGAAACTACAAGTGATGTTCTTGATGAGCTTGGCACCCCTCTAACAGCACAGGCAGATTCAAGTACTGATAAAATCGTTTCTGATATGAATGATTTGAACGTTGTAAATGATATTCCCCCCGAGGAATCAAATGTGCAACATACTCTATCAACTGAAGATGTGGATATGCTTCTGGATAAATGTCTCCTTCAAGCCTTGCATACAACAGTGAAAGACAAAGATTTTCCACTTCCTGGGAGCACTCTATGGTGAGAAATTCTTACGTGTCATTGTTCTGACATAGGAGGCTTTTTTTTTTTTCCTGAAGGCTTAAGTTTTTAAAGACGTTCCTCTTATATTTTCTATATGAAATATTTGTTCCAAACTGACAATTCCTTCATGTTTTACGCGTCATTATAAGTTTGTGCTAAAGGCTAACAGTCCTCTGTGGAACCATACTTCATTGTTATTAGTGTTGGATTCGTATTCTAATTTGCTGCAATAGAAATAGCTTCTCTTTTTTCAAAATATTTGTGGAAAGAATAACAAATGTTTTGTATTAAACGAAAAGCTGTATTGGCATGAAAGTAAGACAGGTAATCATACTTGAAAAGGGGAAACAAAATGATGTAATACAACTCAAGAACCAAATCCATGGAGAGGGGGATAATGGAACACCCCTGAAAACGTCTAATGACTGATGTCTAAAGTGAAATCATTAGAGAAGTTCTGGGCTTGAGTGCGTACTATTTTGAATTTGAAAACCCATCATTTTATTCTCTATCAAATAATTTTTTTCCATTCACTTTTGGCCCAATGTAGGTCAAATCATGTATTGCATTGTCGGCCTCCAGGCATGACGCTAGACATCAAGAAATCATCCTACAAGAAATTGTCAAAGTGGTTGCAAGCTAAATCCTCCACTGGACTGGTATGTTTCATGCTACTTCTGTTCAGCTTCTTAGTTTTTAACCGAACTTCTAACTTTATATTGAACTTCAAGCTCAGTCAAGATTGGAAAGTAGGAAATCAGGTATCCCATAGTATATTATGAAGTTTAGTGCAGAATTCAGGTCTATTTGAGATTCTGGGTTCAAACCTTAGTGACCATGTACTTACGAATGCTTCTAAGTATTAATCTTTCATGAGTTTTCTATTGATAAATGTTACAAGGCCAAACTGTGAACAGTTGGAATATATAAGATTAGTGAAGTAGCACGCAAGTTAGTATAGCCAACCACCATCTTTGCGAAGAAAATACATATTTCTTGGTTTCCACTCATCATAGAAACAAATATAACTAACCAAATTGGAAGTTGGATACATTATCTAATCCATATTATTTCATTCTTAAACTAAATCTTGGTTCTTATCTGGGAAAAGCAACAAAAACAAAATGTTTACTTATATCACTCGTTGTGCCTTGAATATATTTTCATTTATTTCAGATTACAGTGAAGGAAGACAAACATAAAAAAGAGACTGTTTTGTACTCTGTTAACCGTAAGCATCCAGACTACACATCCTTTAAACCAGAGAAGCCTCAGGTAGAGAAAATTGATCAGATCGACAATCATGCTCCAAAAGAAAGTTCATCCAATAAAATGCTTGAAGTAACAGAGATATACAAGCCAAGTGTGCATGTCAATCCCATTTTTGTTGCTGTGGGGGCGGACACTAGCAAACTTTACACTGCAGCGGAGGCCTCTGATATTGTCTTCAAATACCTTGAGAAAGAGAAGTTGGACAAACCAACTGAGAAGTTCAAAGTGGTCTTGGATGCAATATTATGTGATGCACTGTTCAAGGGGGCCATTAAAAAAGGAACAACATATCCAACAGAAATTCATAAAAAAGATATAGGCTCAACATTTATCAGCCGGATGCAACCCCATCATGTTGTGACAAGAGGAAGTGAGTCTGTTGTTCGCAAGGGTGCATTAAAAACCATTCAAATAATGACAGAGCGACGGCAAGGAAATAAGAAAGTTACAAGACTTTCTGGGTTGGAAACATTCTTGTTGGATGCTGAAGCATTGGCATCAGAACTTCAGAAAAAGTGTGCTTGCAGTACAACGGTGGCAGAGTTGCCTGGTAATATGACCTGTCTACATTTTTATTTTCATATAGTTTATTTGTTAATGCAAGAGCATTATGCTGTGCTATATCCCAGTTATGTTTTGTTACTCCTGACATTTAAGCAAAAGTTGAATTTTGCATTTGCATGGATATCGGCATTTTTTATTTTGACATTTGGAAATGAATATGTCATGAAATACATGGAGTAGCGAAGTTTATAGGTTTTTCTTCTGTTCCTTGTTTCTATTTTTTTGTTCTCGGGTTTTTGATGGGAAAATCTTTCAAATGATGTTAGTAGGCAATTTTCAATTATTTTGATTCTCCTGTTATATTTTGGATAAACAAATTCAGGTAAAAAAGGGTATGAAGTTTTGGTCCAAGGTGGAGTCATTGATGACTTGGCAAGACATCTGGTTGAACAATATGGGATTTCAAAAAAGTACATTGAGGTACTTGATAAAACAAGGAAATGAGAGGCCAGAGCTGGTTAGTCTTCTATGATTACTACTAATTTTGATGCTTGTAGTTAATATTAAAGAAAAGTTGGTATTACCTTTTTGTGTTTCCGTAGTATTAAGAGCGGCACCTTTCTCTTCCTCCTTTACATTTGTGAAATTACTCAAGGAAATGACCAAATGGGCTCGACTTGATCTCATTACTTGATTGCACCAACACGGCACAATTTCTACACATATCCTACTACCATTTGCTATAAATCTGAATCTAATGGTGTTGATCATGTTATGAATTAAAAAATGAGAATGAACATAACAACGAAGATGTGGTTATTGTTAAATGAAACAAACCTATAAATAGCTGGTCAAAGAGAGGGTACGAGATGAATTGTGTGTACAAGGTTTGTGTTCGTGCCTGTCTCTTTGAGAAAAGTATGTTAATTATGTATATTCCACATCATACGTATACTGTTAACTTATGTGGGATGTCTATTGATGAAGATTAAGGCAGTCTTTGTTGACACTTGTTTTACTTTCAGCTATATATTTACAGGTCACTTCCCAACCCCGGGCTGCTTATGATATCAAGGAACAATCTGCTAATACCAGCGGCCGCATCGTGCAAGTAAAGGCCTGAATCAAAGATATTATAGAAGTTACTGATTATGAGGTATCAAAATTTGATTCATGCAACGAAGCGAATATTCCTCATTTGTGTCTTTAGGCTGGAAAATTGGTTGCAAGTTTCACGGACACTGAGTGTTTTGGTTCATCCTGTTGTGTTTTTGGCCGTGTTAAAGAAAATGTTTTTAGGACAAACCAAACATGTTTTTGCCAAACATTTGAGAGATTTTCTTACACTTATGAGTTCATCATATCCGTTATTCTACTATCTCAGAAGTGTTATTTCAATGGTCTTGTTATTCTATCCCTTTATGATCCCAAGTTAATTTTGATTTATTTTTTGAGGTCTGTCTTTTTGAACAATTTATTCTTTAAATAATTACAATATTTAGATCCAAAATGTAGATGATAACATGTAAATGTGAAAATTGTTTCGTTGTCCATTCATTGTCTACGATTCGAATAACATCTATGATTCGAACCATGCATAACGTCTACGATTAGTTGTATGATCTTACAAATCTTTTTAAGTTGATGCATTGGGATGGATTTAAACTTTTACAATGTTATATAAATCTTAATTAGTTTAGATACTATTAAATTTAATAAGAAAAAAACTCTCATTATGGATTTTTTTTTAATATCAATATCTTTTAACTTATAACTTTAAAGCTTATATTTTTAGATTTAAATATGACAAATGGAAGTGTTTTTGTTCATATATCAATTTTCATCCATATATGTAAGGGTAAAAGAAGTTAATTTCGACGTTCCTTTACCTAATGGTACTACTAAAGTATGGTTCTTTTTTGCCCTTTTTGACCAATATTTCACATTACCGGAAGTAATCCATTAATTAATTAATTAATCCCATTTGTGTAAAAATATTCGATTCCAATGGCGTTGATTAGAAAAATAGGCAACAAACGAAACGAAGAAAACGTTTGAGTGAATAAGATTATTTATATTTTATATTATATATTAGTAGGCTCATTGACTAAGCTTGTCACAATGACAAAAGTACCCTCACCTTTATCTCCCTCTGAATTCATCTTCTTATTCCCATCCATCACTTCAAAATATTCAAAGGAAGAAGTGGGCTCCTCCTTTCAATCAACACAAAATATTTATTAAATCATTTTCTCAAAGTTTATTGGATCACATGTTATTTGATGTTATCATTTATTTCATTAAATCACAATTATAGAATTGATTTTTAATTATATTTTTTAAAACTAGGGTATTGTGTCTTTTAATAATTAAGAAAATTTAAGACCACTCCTAGATTACATTGGTTATTACAATTAAGTATACCATCCCAACTAAAATTTTAAATTACAATATTTGTTTATAATTTTTTATTATTATTATTTAAAATTAAGTCATAAATCCCAAATCTCTCACTTTGGAACTTTTAACATGAATATAGCTGCAAAAATTACAAATTTAAAAGTGTGATGATAAAATGAATTTGTTTGAAACATTTATCTCTTTAAAAATCCAATAGTAAAAATTTTAGAATAATTTAGATCATAAAATTCTAAGTTATTGTTGAAACTTTTAAAAGTTTAAAATATTTTTAATAATCCAATGAACACAATTGTTCAATCCATATAAAAGAGATGAACCATTCCATATAAAAGAGATGAACCAATCCATATAAAAGAGATGAAAACAAGAGGGATAAGTGAATGAATAAAGTTTCACTTTCAAATTTGTTGGAAGTATACCCTTTTTATCCATCTTTATAATTTTGTTTTATTTGTATAATCTTTTATATATAACTTTTTTCACCCTTTTGGGACACATTAAAATGTGATCCAATAATATTTTATAGAAAAATATGTAGAAATATGAGATCATGTGCTGTGCTGGTGCCTCTTGGATATCTAATGCCCTAAGAAAATAATTAAAACTGAAAGTTTTAAATATTTTTTCGTATTTCTATAATATCTAAAACTCTTTATAAATAGGTGTTTAATGTTCTATAACACCATCCTTAAAGGAAGTTAATATTAATAGAGATAATAAGTAATACTACCATATAATGTGGACTTAACCCCTTTGGATGCAGATATGTATTCAAAGCGAAAGTTTCGAAAAGCAATACGGAATCATCTCCACCGTTGGTCCTAGATGTTGATGGTACACGTATTAATGAGTAGGATACGTGTCGTATTATAAACACTGAATATATTCATACAGAAAGTGGGATATTCCAAACCAGTTGAGATGGCCGAGTTGGTCTAAGGCGCCAGATTAAGGTTCTGTGGGTTCAAATCCCACTCTCAACAAAATTGTTTTTATTAAATATCCTTTTTAATTTGGAGACTTTTCTTCTCTTTTTTCCATTTATGTTAACAGTTAATACTAGTTGGTTTTCATTTATGGTAACAGTTAATACTAGTTGGTAAACTACGTGCATCTAGCAGCCAATTTCAAGCAACTCTTGGAATTTAGAGAAAAATCTTGTTTAAATGTTTATTTGCAAATTATACTTTCGATATGAATAATAACAGATGATTTATTCCGTAAACTAATCAATTAAAAACATAAAAGTAAATTATTTATCCACACTTTTTTTTTTGTTTAATCTTAAAATATAAGAGCATTCAAAAAACAATTTTTAAGCAGTTATTTTAGTTTTTATTTTTTTTTTTTAAAGAAAAAAAATTTACATTTTCGAACAAGCTTCAATTTTCTTTCAAAAACATTTTTAAAGAATTTTATTTAGAGTTTTTTGTAAAGATTTAGATGATTATACATATTGAAATCACTACTCACAAACTCACAATTTTAAGAGAATAATTCCATCAACTTATTTACTAGAACACTTAATTTGTGCGGACACGCTTAAAAGAAACTAAATTCCTCAAAATAAAATCTGACGGTCGGTGTGTGTGTGTGATATAAATATTTATACATCAATTAAGCTAATTTGTGAGGAATCTCTCAAGTACTCTAATCTGAAGAAATGAAGTGAAACCACATGGATATTCTGTTCAATAATTTGTTAATTAAGGCAACACTAAACCTTTTCCTTTGGCACTTTAAAGGCTTGGCTCTGAAAGAGAATTATAGAATATGACCATATAAATATATATAAAAATACATACGGTTCTGGAGGCTTTGCAAAAGAATTTTGGACAATAATAATTGCGGGACTCCGCGTGGAGAATTGAAAAGGAGAATATAAGAAGGTTATTTGGGTAATATGCCGTCAGAAATGGACTTAGAAACAGAACAGAACCAAATCTGCCCTTTTCTTCGATTTGCAAATGCTTAGAAAACGAAAAAAAGAAAAAAAAAAAAAAAAAAACTGAAAATTTTGATATTCGATACCTTTCTCAGAGAGTATATATATGAGCAGCTTTGAAGCTCAAGTATTCAAAGCTGGGGCGAGCAGAATCCTGGTCTTCTTCTTCTTCTTCTTCGTTAAATATATACAACCTGATATATTGGTTAAGTTGCTATATATATATATTTACAGAGAGAGAGAGAGAGAAAACAATGGCAGCTGGGAATGAATGGCTGCATGGCTATTTGGAAGCGATTCTGGACGTAGGAAGCAAGACAAGCAAAAAACAAGAAGGGAAGCACAGAATTACCAGGTTTGATGACAAACAAAAGAAAGGGAAGCTGTTTTGTCCAACAAAATACTTCGTTGAAGAGGTCGTTTACAGCTTCGATGAGTCTGATCTCTACAAAACTTGGACCAAGGTTTTCTTTACACATTAATTAATTACCTCTCTCTCTCCCCCTCCCTTTCTTCTCTGCATATATCTCTTGTTATTTCAATTAGCAGCATGCATGATTTAAATTATTACTATACTTACATGCACTACTGTATTCCTCAACATTTTTTGGTTCATAAGTTCTGATTACTTTTTTGTTATTTTTATTTAAGTTATATCGAAAAGAAGTTCAAATTACTAACTGTTAATAAAAAGAAACAAAAATAGACAGCGTGACACATAAGGGTATATATTCCTTTCTAATCTAAAAGCAAGGAAACGTCAGCGCCCCCACTCTTACTTACCTCTTTTTGGCCACTTTTTGATGGGGGAATATTATGACTGTAACCTTTTTATTAGCTCTCACAGTTAATTGCAAACTACCGCTTAGGAAATAAAAAAATTATCCAAGTATTGCATGCTAGAATAGGTAGGAATTTAATCACGCAAGATCGATGGTTGAGACTTGTACCTGATGAATCGAAAGTCCTTTTGCTTAGCTTCCATATTTCTAAGCTGCCTTGGATAAATGATAAGACTTCCCAATCCAGTAAGCTAAACTGTATCCTTCCTGTTAAATCACTGTCCAAAACCTTTTTACTCTTTTAATCAATAATCAAAATTTTATGCTAATATGAGATCATAATATTGTAGGAATTTAAACTAGATCGGATAAATTTTATCGGTTAATATATTTAAAAAATACATTTCTCCCATAACAGTGTCAAGATGATCCATCGTAAAAAATGAATCTTCTCGATATTTTTCTTCTCCTAACGAATTAAGTTTAAGATGGAAATCCATACCAACATATCATTAAAGGGGAAATAGAACTTATGCGATGATTGTACTTACAGGTGATTGCAACTAGGAATACACGTGACCGCAATAATAGACTGGAGAACATGTGCTGGCGCATTTGGCATCTGGCTCGGAAGAAGAAGCAGGTGAATGTTAAATATGCAATTCATACTTCTAGCAAATATATGATTACTGATGCATCCTAGTTTAGCATCGAATGATCTTACACGTTTTTATTTTTTGGTTGAAAATGCAAGAGACTCAATTGTTCACACACTGAATTCCAAGTCAAGTGATAACGAGTATTATCGTTTAAAGTTAGTTTAAGGCAGTATTACTTATTAGCCTACCAGAAGAATAATTTGGTGTTTTTATTTTTGGCTAAATATATGTTTTGATACCTAATGTTTCAGTGGTTTTTAAATTTAGTGTCCAAAGTTTTAAAATTTTCAATTTAATCTCATATTTTTATATTTGTCAATTATACTAATGGAATACTATATTGAATTGGTAGAAATTTGATCACCTATTCAATTTTTCCTTGAATTATTAAAAGTTGGCAACCTTTTTAAATTTGAACTTAACTCATTCAAATTTTCAAGAACTCACTGATATCTACCACAAGTCAATTTTAACCTTCCTAGTTGTGAGGGTATAATTGAAATTTTTTAAAAGACAAGGAACTAAATTAAAATATTTTAAATAGTAGGGATCAAATTGAAAAAAAACACTCAAATAGTAGGGACCAAAACATAGATAACCATTATTTTATCGTAATCTAAATTATTTTCTAATATTAAAAACACGGACAAAAGTTTCTTAAAAAATAGGTTGCAAAACAGTTTTTGAAAACAAATTTTGAGAACTTTCATCCAAAAGCTCTTTAACTCTCTCAAACTCGCCTTTGAAAACAATAAAAGAGAGAGAACTTTATTAACGACAGACCTAACCAAGTACAGTGCAGACTTGTGTTACGAGCTAGTGTTTATGAAAGTGCATGCAGAATTTCCCCTTTTAGTTCCCTACATCTCCAAATCCTTCCAGTTCAATGTAAACTAGTCATAGGCTCTAGCATATATTACACTTACAAATATTCTTATGGTATGTGACACGAACAGATAGCTTGGGATGATGAACAAAAACTAACAAACCGACGACTGGAACGAGAGAAAGGTCGGAGCGATGCTTCTGACGATCTCTCAGAGGGCTCAGAGGGAGAAAAAGAGCAAGGGGACACTAACATATCCGAGTCTATCAAAGATACTCCTATTATTAATTCTGACACTCAAATTTGGCCAGATGATGAAAAGTCTAGAAGCCTTTATATTGTCTTAATCAGGTATACACTCAAGTACTCCAATTTCAATGGATGATCATCAAGGATTTAAACAATAGAACAACTAGACCGAGTAAATTCATTTAAATAGCTAAGAGGACAATGCGTGCAGCAATAACTGATATAAATATGTGTACCTTCTAATGTGAAGTTTGTGATTCTTCCAGTATCCATGGGCTGGTGCGAGGAGAAAATATGGAACTTGGAAGAGATTCTGATACGGGTGGCCAGGTATGATGAGTTTGTCAAGTCCTTTTAAAAGCAATAAGATACAGAAAAAGTAGAAGGGAAAGAAAGCATGCCTCTTTATCTCCTTCCTTCAGAAATACTCATCTGCAATGAAAGGCCCTGCATGACAAAGCTTACAATATCGAAAGCATTTAACTACTATCTATTTATCATTACCTGTAGCTTCTTTAATTTCAGGTCAAATATGTGGTTGAACTTGCTCGAGCTTTAGCCAATACAAAAAGGGTGCACCGTGTTGATCTCCTAACTAGACAAATCTCCTCACCTGAGGTAGATTCCAGTTATGGAGAGCCCGTAGAGATGTTGTCGTGCCCATCTGACGGAACTGGAAACTGTGGTGCCTACATTATTCGAATTCCATGTGGACCTCGTGATAAGTGTGTGCTAAATATTATTCCCTTCCCCCCTCAACATTTACATTCTAATTGTGGCAATTAACATGCAAGCAAATCTTGTAACAGATACGTACCAAAAGAATCCCTCTGGCCATACATACCTGAATTTGTCGATGGAGCTTTCAACCACATTGTTAACATGGCAAGAGCTTTGGGTGAAGAAGTTGCAGGAGGAAATCCAATTTGGCCTTATGTCATCCATGGTCATTATGCAGATGCAGGGGAGGTGGCTGCTCACTTGTCTGGGGCACTGAATGTGCCAATGGTGCTAACAGGACATTCTTTGGGCAGGAACAAATTTGAACAATTGCTTAAACAAGGGAGGTTGTCAAAAGAGGACATCAATGCAACCTATAACATTATCAGGAGAATTGGGGCAGAGGAGTTGGGGTTGGACGCTGCTGAGATGGTGGTTACTAGCACAAGGCAAGAGATAGATAAACAATGGGGACTGTATGATGGTTTCGATCTCAAGTTGGAGAGGAAGCTTAGGGTTCGAAGGCAGCGGGGAGTGAGCTGCCTTGGTAGATCCATGCCTAGAATGGTGGTATGTTATACATGCGACCTCTTGAAGCACTCTCTTTTCTTGCATTAAGAAGAATAGCTGCCATAATCCAAATTCATTCACCCATATATTTATTTCATCGTCACATCTAGATGATAGTGGAAAGAAGATAGGAAATTTTGGTTGGAATATTTTGTCTTGAACATATACTTATCATCCTTCGGCCTTAGGTTATACCTCCAGGCATGGATTTCAGCAATGTTACAATCCAAGATCCAATGGAAAGCGACGGAGACCTGAAGTCATTGATCGGACCAGACAGAGTTAGAGCTCAAAACAATAGAAATATACCTCCAATCTGGAATGAGGTTCCATATTCTTCTTTCATCCTTTGTACTATTCCTGAAAAAATTGAATTCATTGAAAATAGTACAGATTGATAAAATTACTTCCAGTTTTCTTCTCTTTAGCAAAGTAAGAGAATTTCTTAACGAATCTCATAGAACAAACTGGATGCAGATTATGCGTTTTCTCACAAATCCTCACAAGCCAATGATACTAGCATTATCCCGTCCTGACCCTAAGAAAAATGTCACCACATTGCTTAAGGCTTTTGGAGAATGTCAAGCCCTGCGGGAGTTGGCCAACTTGGTAATAATATTTTCCCACCCTTTCTTCTATCATCGCTTATGCGCAGGCCTAGAGCCATATATAAGGACTAACTTTTGTTGACTCTTTACTTTGCTGAAGGTTCTGATTCTTGGTAACAGAGATGATATTGAAGAAATGTCTACTAATAGCTCCAGTGTTTTGATAACCGTGCTTAAGCTCCTTGATAAGTATGATTTATACGGTCAAGTTGCTTACCCCAAGCACCATAAACAATCTGAAGTTCACCAAATTTATTGTTTGGCAGCAAAAACAAAGGTAAACTTCCCCTGCTAACAAATAGAAAAAAGTTCACAACTAAATTTCTGCATAAAATTGGGTTAAGGATGCTATTGTTGTCCCTCCAAGGTGTTAATGTATGCCTAATTTTGCAAGAATTGACCTGTTACAAAGAAAACATCAACCTACACACCATGAATAGGCAAAGTTTTTGCTAAAGTATTCTATCAATGATATTTAAGACTCTAATAGTACCTCTTGGCGTTGTCTTTTGAAGGGAGTTTTCATCAACCCGGCTTTGGTCGAACCTTTTGGCCTCACTCTTATTGAGGTAAAAAGTTCACACTTCTATTCACAGATTAGAATGAACTTCATCCAGGGCCCATAATAATGTTTAATTGAAATCTAAAAGACAGAAACAGAGTTCCTAAAGCATGAAATTCACGTGAAAAATGCTTTTATAACTGATTACCAGGTTGATTCCATGTCTAAATTTGCAGGCAGCTGCCTATGGCTTACCTGTTGTTGCCACGAAAAATGGAGGACCGGTAGATATTTTGAAGGTAGGCGTTTCAAGAAAATAACTTGCCTAAAGTATGCCTGGATCCGTAATCCTAGCTGTACTATCCAATAAGTTTTGTACCATGTTTAATGCCACACGATAATTATCCTTCTTGATTCTACATAGATTTGTATTTATTGTCAATAATCAAACTAATGTCTTCTCAGGCATTACACAATGGACTCCTCATTGATCCACATGATCACCAAGCAATAGCAGATGCCCTTTTGAAGCTGGTTGCTGACAAAAACTTATGGATGGAATGTCGTAAGAACAGCCTTAAAAACATACACCGATTTTCATGGACAGAACACTGTAAAAACTATCTCTCCCACATTGAGCACTGTTGTAACCGCCATCCTACCATCCGCCATGAGAGCCTACCAATTCCAGAAGAACCCATGAGTGACTCTCTAAAGGATGTAGAAAATCTTTCATTAAGATTTTCCATCGAAGGAGAATTGAAGTTCAATGGAGAGCTCGACAATGCAATGCGGCAGAAGGAACTTATTGAAGCAATTACCAAAAAAATGGTTTCTTCTCATAACAATGACAGTGCAGGTTATTATCCAGGTAGAAGGCAGGGACTATTTGTAATAGCCACAGATTGTTACAATAACAATGGAGAGTATACTGAAAGTTTGCAATCAACAATTAAGAATGTGATGCAAACTGGCTCAGCCTTGGGTTTAGGCAGTATAGGATACGTATTTTTAACAGGATCAAGCTTAAGAGAAACAATGGAGGCACTGAAATGCTGCCAAGTAAGCATAGAAGAATTTGATGCGTTGGTATGCAATAGTGGAAGTGAGCTGTACTATCCATGGCGAGATACAGCAGGTGATACAGATTATGAATCACACATTGAGTACAGATGGCCAGGAGAGAATATCAGATCGATGGTGACCAGGCTTGCTAAGTTGGAAGGTGGGAACGAGGATGACATAATGGAACATGCAGGCATATGGAGTTCAAGGTGCTGCTCCTACAATGTGAAATCAACTGCCAATGTAAGAATTCAAATATGCTTTATTGTACTGACTCGACGAATGTAATTTGTGGCCTAGGACTGCACATTTCTCATGAGAATCCTAATGTAATGGGCAGATTAGGAAGACTGAAGACCTTCACCAACGGCTGCGGATGCGAGGACTCCGGTGCAATATTGTCTATGTACGAGCAGCATCAAGGTTAAATGTGCTACCATTGTTTGCATCAAGAAGACAGGCACTAAGGTTAGATTCCTTTGATTATGAAACAACAAAGACTCCACAGAAAAAATAAAAAGATGATGATAAGAGTAATAATGGTATTATAAAAATGAATTACCATTGCAATAACTACAGAAGGAAAACAAAGAACGAGAAAGAAATTACTTAAATGCCTGCTATTTTGGTAGGTACCTTTCAATCAAATGGGGAATTGATCTATCCAAAATGGTCGTGTTCGTTGGGGAGAAAGGAGATACGGATCATGAAGACCTGCTCGTTGGCCTCCACAAGACCATTGTTTTAAAAGGCTCTGTTGAGCATGGGAGTGAAGACAGCTATAACAGAGAATGTACAGTCACCTTCTCACGTGATAGCCCTAACATTTCCATTTTAGAGCACATTTACGGCGTTCATAATCTTTCGGCAGCACTAAATGTGTCTGAGATCAAGAGCAATTAGCCTGTTCTGTTGCCACATATGTAAATAACGAAAAAGAAGATGTGACTGCCATAATAAGAAGAATGTACTTCACTTTTCGTAAGAGCATCAATATTCATTTAAAAAAAAAAAAAAAAAACAATACAACATAAATTGCATTTTGCAACATTTTACTTGATGTTGTTACAGAAAAGCGGTCGCAAAATAACGATGGTAAAATAATTCTCGAAACAAATTGCTGTCATTAATATGCACAAAAGTAGCACGGTAAATATAGTTAGATATCAGTATTACAACCAACGACGTTTTTCAATGAAGAAGAATTTTGAACTAAGCAAAAGTATTTCTTAGCTCGAGTAGTTGCAACGTTTTCCACAGCAATAGGATTGAGAACATAGCACATTACTCTCGTTAAGAGACAATATAGCACATTGCAAAAGAAGCAATTACCCGCTCAGCAAGTTTAAGTTTTGACAGATTCTAGCACAAGACCACCATCAAACATCTATTCCCCTCTCAATTACCTGCATAGTGGTTAACTTTATCCTATTTCTTCTTCACTCTTTCAAACAACAGACTGTTTGCATTATCACGTACTTAAGCTTATTCCAGTCTTGTATTCCTTACCACAAGTGCATTTAATCACATGCGAAATTTCCTACAAAGTACGACGTAACTCTTTCTTATTAAAAGACAGAAGAACGTCCATAGTGCAGTTGAATTAAATATATATATATATATATATATATATATATATATATATACACATATAATAAAACCAACCGCCAAATGTTAAGAAAAAAATCACTGATTTCAAATTCACCTTCAGTTTTGCAATTTGGTCTTGAAGGGACCGTGAATACTCAGTTTCTCCAGCTTTATCTGATAAGAGCGCCTTGGACTCTTCCTCCAATGTAACATCATCCATTGCTCTGAGTTCTGGCTGAAGTTTTTATCCAGGAAAAAGTATTAAATAAT